GATTCTAACAAGTTTATGCTGCTTGAAGCTGATATATTTAGTTTATTGAAAGCATTAGCTCATTCGGGCAATTGGGAAAGAGCCCTTTTATTCTTTGAATGGGTAGTGTTGAATTTAAAGTCTTCTAATGTCAAAATAGACAATCAAGTTGTTGAGCTAATGGTTAGAATTCTTGGGAGAGAATCACAGCATTCGATTGCATCCAAGCTGCTCGATGTAATTCTGCTTGAGGATTATTCTCTTGATGTTCGAGCATATACGACCATTCTTCATGTGTATTCTCGTACTGGCAAGTACAAAAGAGCAATCTCTGTGTTTGAGAGAATGAAGGAGACAATGCTGCCTCCTACTTTAGTCACTTATAATGTCATGCTTGATGTTTATGGGAAGATGGGTCGTTCTTAGGATAAAATTTTAGGCCTACTGGATGAAATGAGAAGTAATGGACTCAAATTTGATGAATTTACTTGCAGTACTGTGATATCTGCTTATGGGAGAGAGGGTCCGCTAAATGAAGCAAAGGGGTTCTTTGCAAAATTGAAGTCCCAAGGCTATGTACCTGGGACGGTTACCTATAATGCAATGCTCCAAGGATTTATTCAGAGGCCTTGAGCATTTTGAAAGAGATGGAGGATAATAACTGTACTACCAACTTTGTAACGTATGATGAGCTTGTGGCCGCTTATGTGAGAGCTGGGTTTTACAAGGAAGGAGCAGCCCTAATTGGGACAATGATGCACAAAGGAGTGATGCCAAATGCTGTTACGTATACAACTGTGATCAATGCCTATGGGAAAGCAAGAAAGGAGGAACAGGCTTTGAAATTGTTTGACAAGATGAAAAAATCAAGATGTGTCCCTAACGTGTGCACTTACAATGCTGTGCTTGGGATGTTAGGGAAAAAGTCACGATCAGAGGAGATGATAAAGATACTTTGTGACATGAAATCAAGTGGATGTTCCCCTAACCGCATTACATGGAACACATTGCTTGCCATGTGTGGTAACACGGGAATGCACCAATATGTTAACCGAGTCTTTCAGGAAATGAAGAGTTGCGGTTTCGAGCTTGATAGAGACACATTTAACACTTTGATTGGTGCTTTGGTCGCTGTGGGTCAGAGATTAATGTTACAAAAATGTATGAGGAGATTATTGAAGTAGGTTTTGTGCCATGTGCCACAACTTACAATGCGCTTCTAAATGCTTTGGCTAGATGTGGTGACTGGAAAGCAGCAGAATCTGTTATTCTAGACATGAAAAATAAAGGCTTCAGACCTAATGAAACCTCGCACTCTTTGATGCTTCAGTGTTATGCAAAGGGAGTAAATGTAAAAGGGATAGAGAAGATTGAGAAAGAAATATATGGTGGTTGTATCTTTCCGAGCTGGGTACTTTTAAGAATCCTTGTTCGTGCAAACTTCAAATGTGGAGCACTGGTGGGTATGGAGAGGGCATTTCAGGAATTGCTTAGAAGGGGTTATAAACCTGATTTGGTTTTGTTCAATTCAATGCTTTCCATTTTTGCCAAAAACAGCATGTATGAGAAGGCCCATGAAACGTTTAACTTGATTTGCTTCAGTGAGCTACAACCTGATCTTGTCACCTACAACAGCTTGATGGACATGTATGCCAGAGTGGGAGAATGTTGGAAAGCTGAGGAAATTCTCAAAGGGCTACAGACATCTGGTGGAAATCCGAACCTTGTGTCTTACAATACTATCATTAAAGGATTTTGCAGGCAAAGGCATATGCAGGAGGCCCTAAGAATTCTATCTAAAATGACAACCAAAGGGATCCAACCATGTATTTTTACTTACAATACTTTTCTGGCAGGCTATGCAGCACAGGGGATGTTCAAAGAAATAGATGAAGTGAACAGCCACATGATTCAGCACAACTGCAGACCAAATGATCTTACGTACAAGATTGTGGTGGATAGCTATTGTAAAGCAAGAAAATACAAAGAAGCCATGGACTTTCTTTCAAAGATCAAGGAGATGGATAGCTTTTTGATAACTAGTCAATACAAAGACTTGCTGTCCGCATAAGAGAGAAACTGGAGTCATGAATTCTGAAGATTCCTGTCATTTTCCTTGCTTCTTGAAGAAAATACCTAGGTCAATCTTGGTGGAATATTTGACCAACTGACTGGCTTGTTCATATTTCTCCTCAATCAAGTTACCAATAGCCAGTTATGTATTTTATTTGACT